GCTGAGAGCCCTGTGATTGGCTGGGCAGTACATTCGTCGATCTGTGATTGGCTCTAAACTGTCACGTGATGTTATCATGATGTTATATTATTGGCTTGCTGTCTGCTGACGACAGCCACAAGCCGACAGACTTCCTGATTGAGTTCTGTTTGTTTGTCGCTCAGAATTAAATCATAATTGACGACCGTACACGCAGACTTTCTGTGCATTTATTCCAACGTGTTTCTGCATTCTTGGTAAATCATTTCCACGACAGCTTCTTTCAGCTTTTCAAAGTGAGCTCACTTTAACACTTTTCCTATTAAATATCTTCAGCTCAATTTCAGCAGCTTTCAGCTTAAGTTTTCAGCATGAAGCATTCACACTAGCATTTTCACAGGAAATGCAATGTCTCTAGTTTAGATTATGGTCTGAATAAAATCAGTTTAGAGAAGAAAAACAAGTCAAACCACATCACTTTTGTATCAGATAGTTACTCTATGGGGCATCAACCTGTTGTGAATTCTGTAAATATGCACAGGTGAGACATACCAATGGCAAACAGTTCAATCCCAGCATCCTTCAGACTCTGTGCGGGGGGGATCACATCGTCCTGAGACTTCCCATCCGTGATGAGGATTCCTATTTTTGGGACCCCAGGTCTGGAGCCAGATTCTGCTTTGAAACTGTTCTCCAGGATAAAGGTCAGAGCCAAACCTGGACAGACACAAAATATTATAACAGAAAGTCATTACATTACAGCTCAGTGGGCTGAAACTTAAACTTGAAATGAATGSTGAAAAATCTGATCAGAATATACTGTATTATAAATCAAACAATCTATTTTTGTCACTCCGAACCAGTATTTATTCCTTGAAATATGCCGTATTATTGATGCTCCAAGAATGCRAGTGGGTTTTGTTGTGATTTTTCCGTCACTCAAACCGATTCTCTGTCAAACCATTTGACAGTTGCAAAGTTTTAAAGCTGAGAAACAAAGAAAACTATATGCAGAGAGCACATTAGACACAGAGCCGGCTATTGTTGTATCCCAGTGGCAGAGAAGGTAAGAAAGACAAAGAACGATGACAATGAGGAGCAGGTGAGGCTTAATGAGAAACTGCCTTCAGTCACAAAAGCAACAGATGTGACAGGAAGAGAACGCGACAACTTCCTCTTCAACCTAACGAATGAATCAGTTGTTTTTGTCATGAGGTAGACTTAAAAAAAAGTATGTTTAGATTAAACGCTTTTATAACACTGACTGATTTATCTGTGATTCTGCAAAAATGTTGAAATATATGATAAATTAACCTGAACCACTAAATGACATGATTCTCTGCATATTAATGATTAAGAACAAGAGAAATGAGTTTATTTGATCGGTGTCYGGGTGACTTTTAGGAGCTGGACTACAGAGAGGAAGACGAGAACGGAAACAGAGATGGGAAGCAAAGCTGACAGATGAGAAGGAGTGTTTGAAGAGCCGCAGACGTTTGAGGAGCGAGGAGAATCAAATAGATAAATTACAGCGTTAACACACTTTGACACACTTTAATTTGTCAAAGTTCAAAAGCAGCTTCTTGTCACACAGAAGCAGAAACTCCTGAGTTCAAATATAAAAAAGGGGTGTTTGTGGCAAATAAGCCAGAACATGATTTCCTCATCAGAGTCTAATTTTATATATATTTTTTAATTTTTTTGTATTAGGGTTTCACT